TCTCTTTAACGTCTACATGCTACCACTGGCTCAGATAATGAAGAACAACAAAATAAGTTACCATAGCTATGCAGATGACACACACATTTACGTAACCATTTCACCAGGAGACTATGCTCCAATTCAAACACTGAGTAAGTGCATTGAACAAATCAATGACTGGATGTGTCAGAACTTTCTCCAATTAAACAAAGATACAACTGAGGTAATGGTTTTTGGAGCAAAGGCAGAACGTATACAAGTTAGCGCTGAGCTTCAGTCTGCAATGTTCAAAACAACTGATAAAGCCAGAAATCTAGGTGTAGTCATGGACTCTGACCTGAGTTTCAACAGTCACATTAAAACAGTTACTAAATCAGCCTACTATCACCTAAAGAATATATCTAGGATTCAAAAACTAATGTCACAATAGGATTTGGAAAAACGTGTCCATGCTTTTATCTTCAGTAGACTGGACTACTGCAATGGTGTCTTCACAGGTCTCACTAAAACATCTATTAGGAAGCTGCAGCTGATTCAGAACGCCGCTGCTCGAGTCCTCACTAACACTAAGAAAGTGGATCACATCACTCCTGTTCTGAGGTCCTTACACTGGCTTCCTGTGTGTCAAAGAATAGATTTCAAAATACTGCTGCTGGTTTATAAAGCACTGAATGGTTTAGGCCCAAAATACATTTCTGACCTCCTGCTAAATTATGAACCATCCAGATCTCTCAGGTCTTCAGGGACTGGTCAGCTTTCTGTCCCCAGAGTCAGAACTAAACATGGTAAAGTCATTATGCTCCAAATATCTGGAACTAACTCCCAGAAACCTGCAGGTCCTCTGCAACTCTGAATACTTTTATATCCAGGCTGAAGACTTTTCTTTTTGTCGCTGCTTTTAATTGAACTATTCACATCTTAAACTGCACTGTAACTTTTATCCATGTATTTTTTCTTTTAATGTTTATTTTATTAGCTTTTCTTTTTAATGACTGATTTTAAATGCCATTTTCTTAATGTCTTTCATTTTTGTAAAGCACTTAGAATTGCCTTGTGTTGAAAGGTGCTATATAAATATACTTGCCTTGCCTTGCTTAATAAAGATTTCATGTGACACATAAAATGGATTTGTTGATGGGAATTAATGTGAATAAATTAACTCTAGGTTAACGGTACTCTTGCTATCACTACTCACCGACACTATAAACCTTGTCCCTCATGCTAGCCCTGACAACACCGGTAAGCACACCTTCATCTAGGCTGCACTGTTGTACGTGTCCTGACTTGTAGTGGTTCTCTCCTCTATCTACACTCTTCTTGTCATCTTTGTAAAACGATATCAGACTGGTAATTGACACAGATATGACTTCTAGTTAAATTCAGTGTGGCTAAAATGAAAACCTTTGTTAAAATATGCAAGCACGCGAAAGTCAAAGTCAGCTTTATTGTCAAAAATTCTACATGTGTTATACATCCAGAAATATCGAAATATCGTTTCCCACAGTGTGACATGTATACATAAAACAAAACAATAAGGCCCTACATAAACGTGGTATACATTAAACAAAACGGGCCTAGATAACCGGGGTATACAGTTTAAAATGTTAATATATTTAAAGTGTTCAAAGTGCAGTTTCAGTGCAAGTCAGTTGAAACGATCTTAAGTTGGCGTGACGTTGAAGTCGTGCGACCCTGCTGCTGTACTGGCTTGTAGTTCGTTTATACTAGCATAACGTTAGCATTTTGCTTTTGGCGACTAGATTTATGATTCAAAAATTATAAAAGTAGGGTAGACATGTGGAGATTATCCGGCTGAACAAAACGTGATCCCTCTCTTAAATGTGTGTCAACCACAGACCTTATTTCGAGCTATTTTCCAAAATCCTATGGAGAATTTGCATTGCTTTTTTGACGAAGGAATCGGAAGAAGTTTACTTCCGGGTTTTACGACGCGTCACTGCGGTTCTCTATGTGCACCAGATTGATGCTTTTAACTTCAACATTTAAAAATAAAATGTTTCTTTCATCACACCATCCATCACACATCCTTCTGCTTCACTACGTCTCTTTGGCTCAATCTCTCGGTAGCTTTGCTTTCTTCCAATCTCTCTCGCGCCGTCCTTCTCTTTCCCTACATCCATCTGTCACTCCTGTCTCTCCCAATACATTAACCTTATATTTTCTCGGGTACATGCCCTCCACTTGCTCCTCTCTAAGACAGCTCTACGTTAGCAGCTCCTTCAGGCTGAGCGAGGCCAGTTTCACCACACGCTTCACACCTTTTAACCCAGAAAGATCTGCCTCCACCATACATGACCATCGTCAGCTCCGCAGTATATGAAGGAGGTTGGACCAAAATAAAGTTGTGCAGTGATGACATATTTCTGTAGGCCGACGGGGCAAAGTCTGAAAATAAGCTTTTTGGCCAACACACGTTTAAGATACTTAACCATTTTTGTTCTGCAGGATAATATCTACATATTTATACCACTTTGTGATTTTCGAAGAATAAAGGTATATGAAGTAGTTTATACCTTTATTCTTCGAAAATCACAAAGTGGTATAAATATGTAGATATTATCCTGCAGAACAAAAATGGTTAAGTATCAACTGTGCATCACCACGTTTATTAATCACTTGTTAGCAGCCACAGTTTTTATGACACATAGAAGCTTTAGACATTCACGAGTGGGGTGTTTAATTACTTTTTATGTTGGAGATCAAACTTGAAAATCTCTTTAGCTTGTGTTAACCACAGATCTTATTTCAGGTTTCTACCAAAAACATGTAAAAAAAACCTTGACTTTGAGATGAGGGAACCGGAAAAATTCTAACTCATTCCAGGGTATTCAGGCTCTTTACTGCACCACTCTAGGCAAAAGAACGGAACGTACAACAAAAAAATGCCCTTTCATATATTGTTTTTATAAGGCAACTTGTGTTAAACCTCTTTGTTATAAATAAAGTTTTAGAAAAAAAAGGTGTTGCTTAGTCTATATTTGAGTTTTTCTCTGACATCTCACTTTGTGTTTACACATTTGGATCAAAATGTGAAACACAAATGATCAAATTTTTTAAAGAATTGACAAATACAATTGCAAATGGATACCTGTTTACATTGATCAACTACCGTTACTGCTTACCTTGTTTATCTTGGAGGGCTGCTCAACAGCTTACTCACATACAGTATACCCCTCTGTGCAGCTGCTGCCAGTCAACAGTATCTACCTCACAACCAAAGATGTCTGAACCCAGAGGAGCAGCAGGCAGAGAATGGAGGCGGATGTTTTTAAGGAAATGAAGGACACTTATTCTATTGAAAACTGTCAAGGGGCTGAATCATTGCCTACGTCAAAGATGAATTTTTTTTTATTTGAACATTTTCAAACACATATCTTTTCATACATTGAATTTAAATAACCCAAGTGTCCAAAAAACAGATTCACATTCAATAAGTGAATGATGTAAGGCTCCTGTCTCAAGTATTTTTATATATATTATACAACAATTATACAACAAAATATGAGACAGACAGAAAGGAAAAAATAGAACCAATGACGAAGTTGAATAAGACCAAATATAACAATACAATGAGATACAATTGTAAATTGCAAATTGCCTTGACCACATTGTGACTAGTCAATGGTAGCAAGGCAGGGTATTATTTACGGCGATATTGAATCACAGCTCCTCAGCTTTGGCAAGGCATAAAAAAGGCAAACATGACATTTAATTGGAATCACAACACTGAGAACTTTGCAATGTTTATTTTTCCTAACTTTTTTTGAGCAGCTGCAGAAAATACTAGGTCATTTTTAAAACAGGTGAGAAGGAAAATATTAGCTGAGTCAAAGCAAATGCAGAAAAACCCAATGCCACACTGTGCATGTGAGCCGGTTTGTGTATGCCTGTGCAATTATACAGCTTTACCCAAACTGGGTTCTAATTATAATCACCCCTGCTACATTCACACTTGCTATCTCCATTTTCTCATCTCTCTGCCTCTCCCTCTCACACACAGTTTTGAAATTGCCAGAGGATATGAAGTGTTAACATATTCCCCCACACATAATTAATTTGCTGATCCATTCTAACAAGTTACCTGCGAGGAGGAAGGAAGTTGAATATGAGTGGGCGAAAGGGAGTAAAACAAGTATAAAGAGAGCGAGAATACAACAAAGGTTATACAATATTGGAGAGAGAAGGCAGTGAAAGACTGATTTTTGGCCTTTTTATTATATGGAATTGCACCTGAAAAACTATTGTTATGCTTTTCTTTTGAAAACTTTGCTTGAACATGTTACATGGTAACACTTTCTGCAGAAGCTTGAATTGTTGAGCAATTGCTTTCATTCTGCAATAAACCCATCAAAACACCCACTGTACCTTGGAGCTGACTGAGGCAATTTGCTCTGTGCACAAGATGGCGTATATCAGCTTCCGGCGGGTGGGGGGTGGGGGGGAGGGCGAGTACTTCCGGTTTGAGTACAGAGTTTTGACAGTTTGTTTTGACATAGACACCAAGAGCAAAAATGTGCGGATTTGGGATTAAAGAAAGGCGATTGGCCTTCCAGCCAACACAGTCTCACTGCATTTCGTGTTATAGTCACAAAATGTATCTATTGATTCATGTTCATCAACACAATTTCGCCATTTTTTTCGTGTAACACAACGATTTCAAAAGCAATGTAAATAATAACAAATTAGAAGGAAAAACAGATTTAAAAAAATACAGATTTCAGTATTCTGACAGAACGATTTTAGAAGCAATGTATTTCTATTGGTAGTATGTTTCATGCCTGCACCAAACAATAACAAATTAGAAGGAAAAAAGATGACAAAAAAATACAGATTTCAGTATTCTGAGGCTCTGAGCCACATTTATTTTCCTCGCGGACGGCAAAAAAACTCAGACAATTTTACAAATTAAAATAAAAGGGTTAGGCTTAGGGTAAGATATTGAGTAACAACATGTTTTTATGAAACATGTCAACATTCATCAAACACTATCTTATAGAGCAGGTTCATTCTAAAACTGTCAATCAATGGTCAGATTGAACATCCGAGTTGGGGCGGCAGGTTTCTTTCAGTCCCTAAATGAAAAATGTAGATTGTGAATTTGACAGCCATGTTGATATAATACATTATACACACACTCCCCCTTTTTACACATGAACTCATGTGTAACAAAATCCTGTATGGGAAGAAAACCTTCAGGTAAGCATTGATTATAAGAAAATACCAAACATCATTCACAATTTTACATCCATTATTTTCCACAGTAAACACTCCAGTGAAAAGAAGTGTTTATCTCCATCTTTCAGTCCTAAAATAAATAGAATCTTCATGTTTTAGTTTGAGCTTCACATTTTGCAAACCGCCACCTCCTGTGGGAGTGAAATATCACCAAGTAGATTAGAAACGGGTCACAAGTGCGGTTTTCCAATTGTGTACAATTTTAGGAAACCTCTCATTTCCCACAGAGCCCCAGAATAATGTGTTAGTCCAAAAGCATGCTTGATTAGTCATTGTTTTAAATCATGCAGTTACACTGATCACATGCAGACATACATTCACACTCACACTGTCAGGTTGTAAAGTCAAGTTTGGTCAGGTACACCCCAGAGTCAGTCATTGACAGTGCTTTTCTCAAGTAACACTGTCAGTCAGGGTCAAAGGTAATTTGGTCTCAGTCTTTTTGGCCATGTGTCGTGCTCTGCAGAGACTTTGATATTTCAGCATAGGCCAGTATCCTTTGTCTACAAAAATCTGTCATATATGGAGCGCCATCATTTATTAATTCACGATTACAACTATAATTTTCAAGATATTTCTAACTTTTCATTGGGACAGCTGTTTCCCACATTTCCTGAATTTTGTTAGCCAAAAATATCACTTCCTCATAGTACTACTACTGCAGTTTATTAACACCTAATCTATATTAAAATGTCTAATAGATCTATTTCAGAAACTTGTGCATATCATTTTCTTGAGTCAAAACATTATTAGGATCTGTAAAGCTCTGCCATGTATTTCATAACTCATATTAATTTATCTTCAATTCTGGTCCACTTAAAGAAAAACGTTTAACCTCCCTAACAGTGCGTGGAACCTTGGGTGTCTGAACATGTAACAATCACTCCTTCCTTTATTAAGGATTTAAAAACAGAAGTAATTTCATCAATGGTTTGTAGTTGAATTTAGGAATGATCACTTATGGCAGGTATGTTTTTACTTTTTAACATCTCTAAATTTCAGGTCATCACTGATTAAATGGATGTCCATTAGGAGGTGGTGACGCTTGCCTTTTAAACTCATAATCTGGTGCCGTGCGCTCCCTGTGAAGCTGCAAGTAAGATTTTTTAAGACAACTGCAGGGTGGGTTGAGTGACCCCTTCTCCTTATTGGTTGTCAATAATATGCACCTTTACAATGGGTGATCCAAGGCCCCAATTTTTTACAATTATATTGCTTTTTCAAAATTAAATGCCTATATAAATAAATATTTGTCTGATTTTATTGAGTGGTTACTAAAACTCTCCTTTTGAACTGATCAATACTGTAACAACTTAAAACACTACCCAATTCACACATGAATAAAAACCCTAAAAGAATAATTTGTAAACATGATGAAAATATTGAAGAATATGTTCTACTCTGTACTCCTAACTCCAAAACACCCACTGCTTAAAGTGTAGTGAATATGTCCATCGTGTGTCCCCCTTTATCCCACAGTACCCTCAGTGTGTTTAGGATTATTTTCTCATTTTACTTTAATAGTTTCTTCTTTACTACTTGTCTTTGTTTGCTCAGGCGGATCGGGGTCTTAGCCGTCTGACAGGCAGAGAGAGAGAGTCCAGGTCTCCGGACGCATTACCTATAGAAATTCTAACACACTGAGGTTAAATAAATCCCACCTTTTCCACTCTGTCTTTTTTTTTACAATATTTCTGCACATCAGTGTACATTGAAGGCCAAAATAACCTAGAGGCAAGTCTGAGATACGTCTTATAGTGACCTAGATGTCCTGCCCATGGAAGTGTGTATGCAAGCTGTAGTACTAGGGATCTACAGCTACCTGTCACAACTAATATCCTGCCGTCTTGCTCTTCCCCCTGATAAAGCAGGTAATTCTGGAGAAAGTATGCTGCACCACCTACTTGAGCGGTTTGATTGGCTGAGTTTAACACCTTGGTTAGCACAGATTTTAACAAGGGATCAGACTGTTGCAATATGGTCATATTCTCTGGTATTTCCCACTTTACATTTGACAAAGCATTGCCAGGCATTTCACCAGGTACAGGTGACCAAGCGTGTTTCTCTAACCGCCGTTGCCGACGTGTTTTCCTTGGCCCTTTTGTTCCAGCACTGCACAGACTACCACATAAGTCTGGCAGAGGCTGGACACCAGGATTTGCTTGGGCTTTTGCCTGCGACCGTGTCACTACGAAACAAGAAACATGCATTTTCTGTCCTGACAAGGGTTCACAGACATGTTTAGTACTGCTAAGGAGGTCATATAGAATAGGCAAATCCCTCCCCAAAAGCATCTCCACAGGTAAACTTTCAATTACCCCCACGTTTAACAGATACCTTTGGCCTTCTACATCAACTGTAAGCTCTACCTGTGGTTCTGGCTTGCAATCACATAAAACATCTGTCTGCTGGTTGTAGTCAATAGTACAAGGCACACAACTTTTCCTAATGTATGACATGGATCTTCCAGAGTCAAGGAGAGTAGTTACCGTTTTAACATTAACTTTTATCGGGATCACTTTACATCCTCCTTCCCTGTCTTGACAGTCAATCTCCTCACCCTTTCTGGGCACATAACACAGTCCTGTCAGTGTTGGCTTCTTCAGGGGGCAATCTGACGCTTTGTGTCCCTGCTGCTGACAATGATAACATACAAAAGATTTAGTCCCTGACTGAGCAGAGGGTCCCCTATCAAATGCCCCCCGGTTACCTTGACCAGTCTTTGGAAAGTTGTCCCTTTGGTGGTTCCAGTCCCTGGTTTCATCCTGCGTTGGTCGTGGTGTCGCCCCCTTTCTGGCAGTCAGGAACTGCATGGCCAACTTGGATGCTGTAAGACCATCCTCAGGTTCATGTTATTTTACCCACGTACAAGTATCTGGAGGAAGCACCTGCAGCAGCTGCTCCAGGATGATAGTCTCCCCCATCTGTTCTTTACTCTTCTGCTCCGGTCGCATCCAGCGACGATAGAGCCCTTTCAACCGGTGGTATGATTCTGTCGGTGTCTCCCCCGGTTGTGATGAGGTGGCCCGGAACCCTGACGATGGGTCTCTGGAGAGATGTCAAATTTGACCAACAGCGCCTCCCTCAGATCTGGGTAGCAGTTGGACATGTCTTCATCCATCGCTGTGTAGGCCTCCAGGGCTTTGCCAGTTAGCAAAGGGATAAGTCGACAGGCCCATTCCTCCCTTGGCCACTGCCATGTTTTTGCCATGCGTTCGAAGCGTAGAAGGTCATTTTCAATGTTTTCACCATTTTGATACACTGGCATCTTTGGCTCCTTACGATGAACTGCCGCTACACCCCCAGAAGGATGACCAAATATGTCAGGAGAAGACATCAATGAAGGCCCAAAGTCAACGTGTCGACCCCCCTGGTGGCGATGAACAGGCTGCTGGGAGGCCTCAACTGAGACCCGCAGGCCCCTGAGCTCCTCCTGTAGGATTTCATCTCTCCTCTGCTGAGCCGCTATAAAGTCCATGAAGATATTTACCACGTCAGCGTTTGAGGGACCCACTCCTGGAGATGGCCCAGGTTGCAGCTGCCGGATTTTCTGTTTTGCCCCTTGTGTTTCAAAACCAATTGATATTCCTTCTTCCTCTGACGTCACAGCTGTGTCCCACTCCTCATCCTTTATCATAAAAGGTTTTCGCTCAGAGCGTAGTCCAGTTCATTTTTTAAAAATACGTCCATTTTTTCGACTGGCCATCCCACTTCTGACACCATATGTTACAAAAATGTTGATGGAAAAAACTAGGGATTAAATAAGCTGGCTAGAGTCACACAAAAATTGTCCTTAGGTGCTTTTATTAACAGCCAACAATGCTGAAAAAGACACAGTCACAAGGATTTACATAAAGAAAACAAAACCTCAATATATCTAAACAGGTCGAGGACATACAGATGTAGCACCTCATTTCAGACTCCAGCTTACAGCTTCCTGCCTACGACCTGCCTAAAACCAGTATCGAGGAATGTTAAGCCCTCCCACTATTTTCCAAGAGGGCGTTGCCAGATTTTCAATTTCAGGTTTTAACCAGGATGCGCTTCATTCACAAATACAGAAAGACAAGTTTCATGGACTTTCAGTTGTGTTTTGAAGAACATTTGAACACATCAATATTTTAGATCAAATAAAGTATATCTAATCTTGTAATTCAATAATATATAGTCTTCATATATTAAATAATCATAATAATAATGTAAATGTTTACATACACTTCTTTATTTGTTATGCTCATACTTTTACCTTTACAATCGTTTGCTTTAATATGCAGTATATTTTTTGTATATGTTTGTGTTTGCTTCCTCCTGCTCCCTTTCGGACACATACTGTATGATTTATTATTATTATTAATATGAAGATATTATTAAGATAAGATAAGATGTTACTTTATTGATTGAACATTTTAGTTTAGAATGTGCTGTCCCACGGTAATTCAGAAGGATCACAGGTCACATTCCGACCATTATTTAAAACAATAGGTGCTTTCACACCGTCTACAGTTTGATGTGTATAGAGGGAGCTCTGTGGCTGAATGGCCAGCGATTAGGTGTGGCGCATTTATCATAGGTGATCAGAGCTAACTGCCTGCCGTCAGATTTCATTTAAAAAACAGGTCTGATTTTAAGACTATTTCTGCGCTCATAAAGAATGATAAGAATAAGAATAATGCATATTGAACTGGTTTCATTCATTAGTGAGTTTATTTAACACTAGAACCGCCAATCGGGTCAATTTGTGTGATGTGTGTTGTGTGTGTGCAATGTAAGTATTTTTCAGAGCTGAGAGCTGCCGTTTCATTCAGACTGTTTAAAAAACGGTAACGGACAATTTTTCTTAGCGGATGCATGTCAATTTAAATCAATACAACTATTTTTTAAATCAATAAAAGCATTTCGATTAATATTGGGAGTCATGTTGTTACTTTGTTGAGAATGTGGCCATGTAATAAGCGGGATAATTTGCAGCGACTTGTTCCTTATGGGGAAAATAACACCCTTCAGCTACGCGTCGGGATCCTGATCTGCCGACAAGGCTCCATTCAAATATAAATATTTTTAGTGAATTACTGAGTTTAGGCACGTTAATAACGTTTTAATGAAGTTGAATACAGTATATTCATATTTGTCAGTGATTTCATGTCAATTGTGTGTGTGTGTGTGTGTGTGTGTGTGTGTGTGTGTGTGTGTGTGTGTGTGTGTGTGTGTGTGTGTGTGTGTGTGTGTGTGTGTGTGTGTGTGTGTGTGTGTGTGTGTGTGTGTGTGTAGAGGTGTGTGTGGTTAAAACATGAATTCATAGATCAAGGCAGACTGGTGCACACACTATACTGTCCTGCCAACACTGGCAGGACAGTAGGCGACACGCCCGTTCTAAGCCGTGTCCCTCACTCCTCACATCCAAGGGGCAAACTCTGGGGAATAGCCGGGACGCCAATACGGAAGTGCCACACACTGCAGTTCATATATTGGCCGATAGGCGATGGCTGCAGAAAGGAGCAATTTCCATAGACCCCCATGTTAAAATGCCCAATTTTACAGCAGAAAAAAACATGTTTCTACCCCTGGCTCCATACATTTTATTATCGATATAGTTAGATTCCACCTTCATGAATATGGATCTGTGAGTGAATTGTTTTCTAACACGACCCTTTTATTTATATTAGGTCTTAATGTTTTTGCATAAATTAGGGCGTGGTCACATTGAGTGACGGCTCTGTCAAGTGACTGCTGCTGCTAGCTTCTCGTCTCTCTGCTACCTGCTCCGTGAAGCTAGCTACAGGGACTCTGCCTGGTCAGTTCATCCAGGAAACACATCTTGAAGCCGGCCGTGGCTGTTTGTTCTTCATGCTTATATATCGGACTATTGTGACTCGTTCTGCGGTTAAAACAGACGGTGCATGAATGCGGTTTTGCGGTAAGTGAAATTCGAGTGCTTTATTGATGTGTTAATGATTTTAATCAGCTACGTAATGAATGTTAAGGCTTGGGTTAGCGTGTAGCGAGTGGTAGCTACATCGGTGCTAACGATGCTAATCATAGCCTCCAAGTTAAAATAATAGACTGTATATATAAAGGTTACAACGAAATAGACAAGCGTTAAGTGGGATAATACTGTTGAACAAACGGCTTCGGTTTGAGGTTGATAAAATAAGGTCATCCTTGTAACTTAGAGATATTTTATTATGTAGGAAGGAACTGTATGCATCGCTAAGGTTAATTTAATGGCTATGCTCAAGTATGTAGACAAGTTAACGTTGAAGTAGTGTATGTGAAATCAACCTCACAATAAGATGTGTATATTACAATTATTAATGTCATATTTCAAGATGATTACTTAGATATTACAATATGGTTGGTTGAGCTGCAGTTCATTATTGAGCTTACACGTTAACGTCACAGTCATCTGAAGAACAAACCCAAACCTTGTTGTTTTTATTAATTGCATTACCAAATGGGTATCAAATAAACAGTAAGCATTGGTAACACAACTTCCAAAGTTACAGTAAAATAAAAAGGACCCTGACTCGGACAATACCCAATCCAACATGTTCAACAGAAGAGAATAAGTTATATTGTTTGTACACATGGTACTTTACATATATATATATATATATATATATATAGATATAATATAGATATAGATATATAGATATATATATATATATATATATATAGATATATATATATATATATATATATATATATATATATAGATATCTATATATATATATATATATATATATATATATATATATATATAGATATCTATATATATATATATATATATATATATATCTGTTTGTTTAAGGTGTCCAGGTGATGCAGACAGGCTGGACCAGAGAGTGAGAGACAGAACTGGACTCCTCACAGCAGTGAACTTCAGCACAGGTACAAAGACTCTTTTTTTCATACTGTACAGATAATCAAGAAAGATATTGGTTTAAATTAATGAAGTATTGACTTTAATACACTGATATACATTCCATTAAACAATACTAAATACTAGATCACCTACACATCAGTTAAGTTGAGGGTTTTTTCCATGCAAAAAGTTACATTTTAGATATTTAGCAATATGACTTTGTCAGCTTTCTAATTTAATGTATTAAAGGCAAAGATATTTAACACATAGTGAGAACTGCTACTATTTATCTCTCAATATTGTCTGTAAAAAACGTGGTAAAAGTGATTATTTCAGTGAGACAACAGAGCAAGCTTCTAGAGTTGCACTACGTTTTGATAACATCCATCCATCCATCCATCTTCTCCCGCTTATCCATGGTCGGGTCGCGGGGGTAGCAGTTCCAGCAGAGAACCAAACTTTCTTTTCCCTGGCGACATCAACCAGCTCTGACTGGGGGATCCCAAGGCGCTCCCAGGCCAGCGAAGAGATATAATCCCTCCACCTGGTCCTAGGTCTACCCCTTGGTCTCTTCCCAGCTGGACGTGCCTGGAACACCTCCCTAGGGAGGCGCCCAGGTGGCATCCTAACTAGGTGCCCGAACCACCTCAACTGGCTCCTTTCGACGCGAAGGAGGAGCGGCTCAACTCCGAGTCCCTCCCTGATGACCGAACTTCTCACCTTATCCCTAAGGGAGACACCAGCCACCCTGCGGAGAAAACCCATCTCGGCCGCTTGTATCCGCGATCTCGTTCTTTCGGTCATGACCCATCCTTCATGACCATAGGTGAGGGTAGGAACGAAAATGGCCCGGTAGACAGAGAGCTTTGCCTTCTGGCTCAGCTCCCTTTTCGTCACAACGGTGCGGTAAAGCGACTGCAGTACCGCTCCCGCTGCTCCGATTCTCCGGCCCATCTCACGCTCCATTGTTCCCTCACTCGAGAACAAGACCCCGAGATACTTGAACTCCTTCACTTGGGGTAAGGACTCATTCCCTACTTGAAGTGGACAGTCCATCGGTTTCCTGCTGAGAACCATGGCCTCAGATTTGGAGGTGCTGATCCTCATCCCAGCCGCTTCACACTCGGTTGCGAACCGATCCAGTGAGTGCTGAAGGTCGCAGACCGATGAAGCCATTAGAACCACATCATCTGCAAAAAGCAGTGGTGCAATCCTTAGTCCACCGAACTGCAGACCCCCTCCCCCATGACTACGCCTCAAAATCCGATCCATGTATATTACAAACAGGATTGGTGACAAAGCGCAGCCCTGGCGGAGGCCAACCCTCACCGGAAATGGGTCCGACTTACTGCCGAGAACCCGGACACAGCTCTCGCTTTGGGAGCACAGAGATTGGATGGCCCTGAGTAGAGACCCCCTCACCCTATACTCCCGCAGCACCTCCCACAGTAACTCCCTGGGAACTCGGTCATACGCCTTCTCCAAGTCTACAAAACACATGTAGACCGGATAAGCGTACTCCCAGGCCCCCTCCAGGATCCTTGCGAGAGTAAAAAGCTGATCCGTCGTTCCACGACCAGGACGGAATCCGCATTGTTCCTCCTCAATCTGAGGTTCGACAATCGGCCTGACCCTCCTTTCGAGTACCTTAGAGTAAACTTTCCCGGGGAGGCTGAGTAGTGTGATGCCTCTGTAATTGGCACACACCCTCTGATCCCCCTTTTTAAAAAGGGGAACCACCACCCCGGTCTGCCGCTCCTTCGGTACTGTTTCCGACTTCCACGCAACGTTGATGAGACGTGTCAACCATGACAGTCCCTCAACACCCAGAGCCTTCAGCATTTCCGGGCGGATCTCATCCACCCCCGGGGCTTTGC